CATTTCCATGAGCCCCCAGCTAACATGATGATAAGTTTTTGTCACTCAAAACCATATGAGCCCTAAAGTCTCTTAGAATTCTAAAATTAGATGGTTCTAGGGAATGAGGTATGCTTCGACTATAGTTTATTATAGTTGAAATACTTGTAGCAAGTTGGTGGAAGCAGTATGATGAAGTCTGCTATTCTGGACACTTAATCTTTGAAACATTTGAAAATTTATCAAAGGAATTAAGAGAATACTTTAGACTTTAAATATCCTAATATCTTGAGCAGAATTTCTGCTGTTTTGAGTGGTACAATAGGTGTGAAAGAATTGACAGGAGCATTTAAGGAGAAAAAAAACCACATATTTTGTAAACAAACCTGTCAGAGGTACAATGCTTATAGACACTTTTTTTTTTAGTTTTAATTAGGTTAATTAGAATCAGGGTACAGCCCAGGGTCAGAATCATCAAAGACAAGTAGTCATGTTAAGGGAACAAGTTACTCACTCAACCAATATTTACTGAGAGCTAATGGAGTAGAAAAACTGGGTCCAGGATCCAGAGCACATATATTCCTCAGTCCTGATTGGCATGGAGGCAGGGAAATGAAAGGCAGCAATATAAGATATTGAAAGAACAGTAATATGAGGTCACAAAGTTTAGGTCAGTAGTCCTAGTGGTCCAAATGTGATTTGGCAGATGAAGCATAGAGTTCTTTAACTCATTGGGTCTCAAAATTCATTTGCATCACCTGAAGAGTTTGTTAGAACACAGAAAGTTGGGCCCCTCTTTCAGATTCCTATTTAAGTCTGGGGCAAAGTTTTAGATACTGCATTTCCTTACAAACCATCTTGTAAGATCTGTATCTCTATCTATGTATCTATGTATTTATTATATTAGTATGGTTCCTTTTTTTTTTTTTTTTCAACGTTTATTTATTTTTGGGACAGAGAGAGACAGAGCATGAACGGGGAAGGGGCAGAGAGAGAGGGAGACACAGAATCGGAAACAGGCTCCAAGCTCTGAGCCATCAGCCCAGAGCCCGACGCGGGGCTCGAACTCACGGACCGCGAGATCGTGATCTGGCTGAAGTCGGAAGCCCAACCGACTGCGCCACCCAGGCGCCCCAGTATGGTTCCTTTTAATGTGAAGAAAATAAGGTTCATTGTGGTTAATATGCCAAATGAAGGTAAGGGCTTATTTCTGTTAAAAGAATGAGACTTTTTTTTCAGTGTTATGGGAGGAAAGGTTATTTAAAATCTTTTTTACTCTTTGTTCTGATTCCATAATAATCAAGAACTTTTTGGATATGCAATGAGGCTTACTGAGAAAACCTATCTTACAGAAGTTCCTGTGTCTTATGTAAATCCATTTGGATCATGTATCATGGAAGAGTGCCTTGGCTGTCTTGTTTAAAAAACACCTACTTGGGGCACCTGCGTGGCTCAGTTGGTTAAGCATCCAACTTCAGCTCAGTTCACGATTTAATGGCTCGTGATTTCAAACCCCACCTCGCTCAGGCTCTTTGCTGACAGCTCAGAACCTGGAGCCTGCTTCATGTTCTGTGTCTCCCTCTTTCTCTGCCCCTCTCCCACTCATGCTCTGTATTTGTCTCAAAAATAAATAAACATTAAAAAATAATAAAAAACACCTACTTGAATCAATACAAAAATTGTGGTATGCTTCCCAATAATAAAAGAAAATGACTTACTGATACATGCAACAATGAATAAACATCAAAGACATTATTGTGAGCAAAAGAACTTGCACACGATATACTTACTGTGTGTTTCTATTTGTACCAATTTCTAAAATGTACCATGATATTTGTGAGATTGGTGCTTAGCAAGGGCTGGTGATGGGAAGGACTCTGAACTCTCAGACGTGATGAAAATGTACTACAGCTAAATAGGCAGAGAGATTACATGGGTATATCCTTTTGTCAGTTAAGATGTGTACATTTCAATCTGTGTAAATTTTCTGTGTAAAAATAGCAAGTGGCGCTGTGGGATGTGAGAGATGTACAGACAACACAAAACATAAAACTAGAAATGTAGATAGTTAAGGAAGCCAGGTGAGGCATATGGAAAGTTCATTATGCTATTCTGTTTATTATACATACATATATTAAAAAACAAAACCACACACTTGGATTTTTATTATTCCATACCCTTCTTTAGAACTTAATTATCCTTAGATTAGTTAATAAAATCAAATTCCTAAAACTGGAAAAAGAAGTGCTTTTATATTACTTCCTCTAATAATCATTTACCTAACTATAATGTAGGGTATTAAGTCAGATACTTTTATTCACTTTGAACAAATATTTATTTGTAGTTTTTATTTACAATTCACAACCTGCCTTCTCCTCTTCCCTCTCTTCCTCCCCACAAAATTGAGGAGGGTTGCATTACATTTTTTAAAAATGTGACCCAAACCCCAAGATACAGAGATCTTAAGACAATTGCAGGAGGAAGGGATAAGTGAATCAGAAGCCAGTGGAATAGGTCACTACAGTTCATGAGAGCTTCTCAGTTCATGAGAGCTTCTCAGCTACCAGAGAAAAGAGAGAAAAGGGTTGAATCTTTTCATTTTCTTTGTTTTATAGAGATTAATATGTAAAAGAAAAAAAAGAGACCCTCCCCCGGCCACACATATACACTGGCATGATATTTGTAAAGGAATTCTTCATGTGAGTACATTAAGAATAGAGTAATATTATTTATTGCATTTGTATTTTGTTATTGGGCCTAAGAATTCTGACTTACAATTTTGCCCCAAATGGTTAGTTATTTCATCTTTGTTTAAGAATGTAGGCAGCAAGTGTAATTACTCACATTATAAAAATGCTTCTGTAAGAAGGATTCTAAAGGAATGATGGAAGTAGAAAATCATGCTTTAGCAAATACCACAGAAATAATTGTAACAAACAAGAGTCATTGATGAATGCTGTTATTTATGAGGAAAGTACAATAAAAAAGAGGATATTTAGGTATCCTTCTAGTATCTTCCCAGAAGATATCCATGAATTACAATGGGGAAAAATAGTACCAATACAGGAGAGAAAACTGGCAAACACCAGTTTGAAACACATAGTTTTCATAACCAAGGGATAAAAGTTAATAGCATGGGAAATGACGCATATCCGCAATATGTACCTCCTCACATAATACACTGAGGAGGGCACACCATCTCTTCTGCAGTATTCCTGCCAAAAACCTATAACCACAATTTAATCATTAGAAAATATTGGACAAACTCAGTTGAGAGATTCTACAAAATAAACTGCCAGTATTCTTCAAAGGGTCAGGGTAATAAAAGAGATACTGAGGGATTATTTCAGATTGGAGAGGAGTAAGGAGACAAGGTAACTGAAATGTAGCATGGAATTCCAGACAGGATACTGGGTCAGAAAAAAAAAAAAAAAGTCTATAATTAGTTAACAGCACTTTATCAATGCTAATTTTATGGCTTTGGTACCTGCATAATATTATGTAAGATGTTAATACGAGAGAAAGCTGGCCTTAAGTTACACAGATTTTCTAAATTCTCTATTTAAAATTGTTTGTGAGTTGAAGTTATTTCAAAGAAAATAAGAGAAAAGAAAAAGGGGGAAAAAAAGCATTCTGAGATTGCCTGAGAATCTGACCAACATTTTGCTAGATAATACCGGATTCTAATTTATGAAATGACTGGAGCCAAAAACAATGTTAAGAGCAAATGGGGGTGATTGAGCAATTTACCAATTTAAAAGGAGTATTCATAAAGTAGCTTTACGATAGCATGGCAGCCTACTGATTCATCACCAAGAGTTAGCCTCCACATGTACAAGCCTGATGCTGAGCTTTAACAGCCCAGGGAAGTCAGAGCATTTGTAAATGGGAGAGGTGGAATGATATTTTTGGTGATGCCTAGAAATTGTAGATGGGCACTTCCTAATTTTAATTTCAAAATTCTAACAATGAGACAATAGACTGTAAAAACACAGATCAATAAGGTCTCAAGAAAAATTCTTAAATAGATTATTTAAAGTGTACGTGGGAGGACAAAGCAGTCACCAGTAGACCTAACACAATTTATAAATTATAACTCATATTTGACTTGATAGACTTCTTTCTTGGAGAGTTATTGATTAAGCAGAGAAGTTAATACAGATAGAGAGAGGATAACTGGACTTGAAGAAGATAATTAGAATGTTCTTTGTGATGTTTTCTGGAAAACAGGGAGAAATTTTGGCAAAATACGTGAATTATTACATGAAGTTTTTGTTACTTTAATTACTGGCAGCAGTGTCATGGTTAATGGGTTACTATCACCCTGGAAGAAGGTTCACAGAACTTCTTCTTTGGCCAAGTCTGTATTAACGGACTACTTGTTAATACACTGGACAAAAATTCAATGATGCAGGAAGCACCTGCCAAAATCACAGGTGTCTTCTCTCTACCACATGACCTCCCCAATAACATGAACACAACTTATTGAGAAAGGGAAGGATATTTGATGCAAAGATGGCCATCTCTATGCCACCAGTGACTGATCCCTTCCTTTAGGGAGCCAGACAAGTCGTTCATATTAACTCCATTCTTCTCCAACATTATTTCCACTACTCACTCAAGACCATGTGTAACCCTAGACTCAGTACTGAAAGTAGTTACAGACATCCGAAAGCAGCAGCTATTTCATCCTTCTAGGTATTTTTATGTTTTCCACTATTTGGAGTGCCTGTCCCACAGAGTATTAATTTATCTTTAAGTCAATCAATAATAATATAAAATATGTTTTCTCTTTGTTCACAATACTGCAATTTACCCAAACATCTATTACAGACTTCCAAAAGAGTTTTATTCCAACAAAGGGTAGCCTATAATTTGAGCAGATAAAAAAAATCATTTTTTAAATATGGGTGGTAAGAATTTTCCAACTTTGCCATTCCTTGATTAATTTAGGTGGTATGTACTCATAAATTACAACCTGTAATAGTTAAGAGGATAATAAAGATTAACAACACACTTACCCACACTTGGATAACCAGGCGTAGAAGGGTCTCCTCCTGGGTTCAGTGACACCATGAAGGTATCATAGCTAAGATTTGCAGTCTTTGGTAAATCACAAGGATCAATATATAGAAGAACACCACCAAATCCAGCCTTTTCCAATAAAGAAAGCTAAAAGAGGAGAAAAAAAAAACTATTAAAAATATCAGATGCAAATATCTACTGTCCTGAACCTTCCTGAGGGCCCCCACTATACCAGTCACTCTGAACTCTGCCCTGGGTGGGCAAACCAGATCTCCCAGATATAGCAACTGAGGATACAAGGAACTAAGGGGCCTCCCTCTGAATGGTGAGTTCCTGCTCTGTCTCTGTCACTAAGGATTTTGAAAGTAGTTCCTGAATGGGGTAGCTAAGTGGCTTAGTTGGTTAAGCATCTGACTCTTGATTTCAGCTCAGGTCATGATCTTGCGGTCCATGAGATGAAGCCCCATGTCAGGCTCTGGGTTGACAGTGTGGAGCCTGCTTGGGATCTCTCTCTCCCTCTCTTTCTGCCCCTTTCCCTAATCTCTCTCTCTCTGTCTCTCTCTCTCAAAATAAATAAATAAACTTAAAAAAAAGAAAACAATTCCTGACTACTTCATTTGAAACATATCTAATGCAGATTCTTCTCTCTTCTTCAGTAAGTATGATGGGGAGGATGAACTTGACATTTCATGTTCTTTTTGTTTTAACTTGGTAAATTAATTTTTTGGGGTAAAGAGCTTGTATACTTTAGGGTGATTTACCTGATGTGGAAAACAATAATCATAATTTGCTAATCCATTTGTTTCTCCTGAGAGGGGAAAGGTACTTAGGGGACACTGGGGAGAGAAATGATGGAGATGATGGCTAGTAATCACATTAAGTGTAGGCAGTTGCAATTCACTGTGTGACTCTAACTAACACTTGTGCTTCACTTCTCAATTACTGCTTCTCTTGTTTATTTTTACAGTGGACTAAGCAATACAGTAGCTTGTGGATCTGGCTGGACCCCACCATGAGGACAGAATCATGCTTATCTTCTCTTCCAATGTTCACTTGCACTTAGGGGGCACATAGTAGACATTCAAGAGTGTCGCTAAATGAAAGAACGAATGAGAAAGATGCTGGTTTGGCATGGCAGCTACTCTTGAAAAAAGAGAACTCTAAGAAAATACTTAGGATGTGCTTCTATTGGAAAAATAAAACACAATTGTACCTACAATATGGTTTTTACATAAAAGAAGTTATAGTAGAAAAATAAAAATACTTGATGTAAGTACATCACATTCATGGCATTTTTTCAACTCCTTTAAAATATTCTGTAATTTCCCATTTTTGAATAATGGACAAGTACATATTATTTTAATTAATACATATTATATTAAACATACTTTATTATCAATCAGAAAAAAATAACCCTGATACCCTAAGCAAAGAATGTTTGACTCACATGTTGAGTCATGTTTTTCCTATCAGTGCTTTAATGAAAAGGGAGAAGAATTTAGGGAGGGGGGATAAATGAGAAAAGGAAAAAAGAGCAAATAACATGTTGATAAGAAGGCTGGATTTAAGACTGACTCTGAAAAGCTCACACTGAAGTCCTTAGGGAGGGTTTCTAATGTTTAGATGCTGAAATTGCTATTTCTAAAAAAAATGATCAATGGAATGATTTTGAATGTTCTGCTTACTATAGGAGAACATATTAAGAAAGAAATATGAACAACTCCAGAAAACAATTTCTAAGTATTAAAAATTACTTTAAAAAAATTAAGTAATTCATGATCACTAGACAAAAAAAAGATACAGGCAAATAGTAACAATCCTATTATCCTGTCTGTCAAAAAGTAGTAAATGTTAATATTTCTAAACTCTTTTATTAGGGCTTAGGCACATATACACATATACTTACAAAATAAGACCACTTACCATAAATTTTGCAACCTTTCTTTTTTTTCTCATCATACCATATACTAAATATTGGTCCATGCTGATAAGTACACTTTCATATAACATTAATAGTTGTACACTGTATATATGTGAATGCTATAAATAATACAATAATAAGATGTAGAAATGCTGCCAAATGTTATTTAACCAATCCTTGACTGTTATTTACATGAAATTTAACTTTTTGTATCATACTTCAACAAACTTCCTTATAGCTAAATCATTGCACAAATGTATATTTTCATGAAATATATTTCTACAGAAAGAATTTGTAGGTGAAAGTATTACTATTTTTTATGATTTTCGATAAAATATTTTCCCTCCAGAAAAGCTATATATAACTAGCTACATTCTTACCAGTCATATATCTGAGTACTTATTTCCTCCATCACCAGCATTGAATATTACTTTTTAAGAAATATTTGCCAATCTAGCCAAAAATTTACCGTCCATTTTTTTAAAAATTACAAGTGACGTTAAATTTATTTTTGCTCATAATTTTGGTCACTTGCATATTTTCTGAAGAACTACCTGATAGTGAAAATTTTTGTGATTCTTGGGGTACTTATCCATTCACTACTATATACTGAATGTCACTTTTGCACATAATATGCTGGTATTGGCATATGGAGATAAGTAGGACAAAGTGCCTGCTCTTAGGAAGTCAGTTACCCAGTGGAATGATTAATAGTTTTCATCTTAAGTGTTAACCCCAATTAACTGGCAACTAGTGGCTGCCTGGGGAAGCATTGCGAGTTCAGGGTCAGTGAAAAGTGGAAAATAGCTCTATGAGAGATGTCTGCCATGGACACAAGAAAGGCAAGTGATGCTCCACATTTTTTGGTTGTTGTTGACCCTGCTTCAGTGGGATAGTCAAATTATCTTCAAAAAATCTCTTTTAAAAAGGTCAATACATTAACTATTTGACTGCTTAAACTTTATGACACCTCGTGACTTAGAATTTATCATAGTCAAAAATAAAATGCTACAGTTGCATATTTTGCTTCTTGTGCTTATGACTGGTAATACATTGTGATTTCTTCTATAATCAATATATACCATGATATTTTTCTATACTTGACAGCTTATAATGAAGCTATGTAGTTTAATAGTATAGTATCTCTTGCCAGAGTTGATTACCTCCCTACAACCCTGAAGAGATAGCCTTATATGTGATTTTATCCCCTCTTCCCATCCTCTGTCTGTAATGGTTGGACCTGAGGGGGACAGGTCTTCAATGTTGTCAAATCTGGTTCATGATGCTGTCCCTTTCTGGCCACCACAGAGCTCCTAAATAAGTAACTTGGTGGCCTAGTTTCAGAAATTATTACGGGATTTCCAATGAAGTTGGCAATTGAGGAAACTGCCTATATTAAATCAAATAACAAATGTTCCTCTACATTGTTAGAAATGCATTTTGAACATGGTGAGGTAGTGGTTACCTAAAATATTCAAAGGATCTACTCTTCTAGTGAGATCATATTCTTTAAAAATGCATTCAAAGGCAAGTCAATATAAAAAGGAGTAAGCTAAGCTGTCACTGGGTTGTCTGCTTTTGACTGTCCCTGGGAGCACAAGTAGAAGGTATTAGCCCTGCCCAGAACCCTTCATACTTTTAGATCACTTGAGACCTAGGATGATTCTACGGGGGGTCTAATTCATGAAAAGAGAAGGCAAATGTAAAGCTAAGATTTCTTAACACAGAAGTTTGATTATCTTTTGTTTCTCTCTCTCAAGTATATTACGTGATAAGTTTAGCGTTCTTCATCATGTTTTCTACCTTGTAAACTAAGAGAGTATTTGACATAAGAGGGAGACACAAAAAATGAGTCAAGCAAATGGCCCTGAGCTCAAGTGTTACAAGGTCATGAAGAAGCAACTCACAGCCACAGGCTAGAATAGTGTACTGAGCCATCAGTCTGTATCACCCTGCAAGGGCACCATTTCCTAATTTACATAAAATACTATAGGAACACATTTCCATGAAAGTAGAAATCATTAAATCAGCCTCCTACCCTTTTATTTAGCTCAAGGACTTACTAAGTCTTTGGTGCCTGAGATACGGGCTGGGCTAGTAACTGAGAAATGGTCCCTAGTCTACCCTGGGACACTTCGGTTTCTATATGCAGAGTCAGTCAACTCCCTTCAAGCTAGGTCATAATTCCACCAACAAACGAGACATTATTTGAAGCAATTATAGTCCTCAAAGTAAAATTTTATTGTATTTAACTTTTTTAATGTTTATTTTTGAGAGAGATAGACAGAGCATAAGCAGGGGAAGGGCAGGGAGAGAGGGAGACACAGAATCCAAACCAGGCTCCAGGCTCTGAGCTGGCAGCACAGAGCCCAGCATGGGGCTTGAACTCACAAACTGTGAAATCATGACCTAAGCTGAAGTTGGATGCTTAACTGACTGAGGCACCCAGGTGCCCCTACTGTATTTTTTATCTACAGGAATTAATAAGGATTTTATGGGTATTTTTAGTAGCACTAGATTGTGATCTGCTTGAAGACAAGAATGCTGTAGCTTCAATTTATATCCCCAGTGCCTAGAATAGTACCTGCTACCAAATGATTTTTCTCTTTTTAAGTTAATGAATAAATTAGTGTGTGTATCAATGAATGAACAAATGAATACACAGTGCATATGGGTACAAGTGTATTACATGAATATTATTTTGCTCTACATTTCACACCCACTGGCTGGAAAACATGCAATACATTTTGCGGCAGCTTGGATATACATGTGCTGGAATGTGAGTAGAAGTATTAAACCAGCTTATTTCTGAAATTAACACACACACACATACACACACACACACACTCAATTAGACGTGTTATGCTTAAACTTCCATAAAAATACATAATTAAAACAGAATTATTTTGTTTTGATTTTTGTGTTATTTCATTTTATGTTTTGTTATCTAAGAGTAGAGACAAGGAGTGTTAGAGACTAGCACACTAGGATTTGAACATGTGAGTTTGTCTTGTTGACAGGGTCTTGCAGATAAAATGTCTTTGGCTAACTTCAAGGAGGCTGATCCCATATTTCTTTCTGTGAAACATATTAATACATTTCTCCTTGTGTATAGTGTATAAAGCTAGGTCTTAACAGTTGCCAAATAATTGCTTCTGAAATAAATGGTACTACAAATCCACGGGCAGGATATAGCAGCCTTATTGAACAGATCTTACAAATCTCA